TCTTGCCGTATATATAGACATAAATATATAGTTATACACATGTATGATGAATGACTTGTCGACATTTGAGAGTAATGTAGATCGCATTGACTAGCTCATTACTGAACTGTTTGCACACAAATAAAGGTTAGTCTAGTGGCAGTTTAATCACCTCATAAATTTGCCACGAGAATAGATTAAAGGTTTGAATATTCCACGAAGCCTAATTTTTGGTGTTGTAGCCTGTCTTACAAAAAAAAAACATTTTAGTAATTTTCGAAATTTACATATTGGTAATTTGGGTCTTGGGTACAGAGCTCTCATAATAGAGCCATTATCAATTTTGTCCTCATCCAAAGTGGTGCAAGCTCTCATAATAGACATTGGCCATTCATTTCTCATCCACATTTTAATACTTTAGCTGTGTGATCTATCTTATATCATTCTCGTAGTGGCGTGCCAAACATTAAAGTTTGACCGGAGGATTTCACACGGCGATGCAAACTCCCTCCCTTATTGAGCACTTATGGTATCTTGCCTGGTGACTGGAACAAAGTAGTTCAACAGGAGAAAGAAGCCAAGGGGCATCCCTCCATTTCTCTTTTCCTTTATCTTAGATTTGGATTTAATTACGGTACCGAAAAAAAATTATTATGGTATTGTACGTCTAACTTTTACCACCGTAATTGGTGTTTTTATAACTTTTATGAGTTATTTTACCTCTTTAATGGGTGTTTTTATAACTTTTATGGGGTTATTTTACAACTAAAAAATTTATCATTTTTGTAGGTGATTTATCACTTTTGTGGGTGTTTTATTATATTTATAATAACTATTTTTACCACTTTTATTTGATACAAAAAAATTTGCCACATTTGTGAGTATTTTTACTATACCTATAAGTGTTTTTTATCACATTTGTAAATATTTTTTTTCACTATAGTAATCAAATTCCTTGGATTTATTAATCTAGGAGAGAACAACCATTGGGATAAAGTTTCAAGAATGTTAGTGAGACATAATTTATTGACTTATTTTACCGATCTAATTCACTATAATCATTGGATTAATTGTGGATCACATTAAACATTAAATTTTGTGTTAATATAACGATTACAACGAAGTCACATTATTAGGGTAATAAATTAAGTCAAATTTTTTAATCTCATTTACCATTACTCTTAAATTAACTTTTGAGTTGAACTCAATTAGTAATACTATTGTCATTTAAAAAATTAACCTAATTTGTTAAAATTAATGATGTGACAACTCAATTAGTAATACTACTGTTATTTAGAAAATTAAATTAATTTATTGATCTAATGATGTAACAATAAAGTGATTTAATAATGTTATTATGATCACAACTTTTAAACTTTTTTATTGAGATTTCGTGATGTATATATCATTATATTAATAAATTATATTAATTTTTTAAGTTCATAAGCATTCCTCGAATTCTAGAAATTTTCCAAAAGTGGCTCATTTGAACTCCCATAAAAATATAATTGATGAATTAGAAATGTAGGGCTTCGGAAAAAATTATGAAAGCTGACTTGGGAACGTGTTATAGCCGCCCAATACTCAATCCAAAACCAAAGACTTCCAAGTCCACGCAGTCTTCTACCAGTTCTTTTCTTCTATACATTGCCTCTACTTCTTCATCGCCATTACCCTTCAGCTTCATCATCAGTCACCAGACTCACCACCATCATACACCATATCTTTCAAATCTGTTTCAAGAAAATTGTGATTATATAGCGTTCGAGTTATATTTGATTTTTTGAATTATTTCTATACGTGTTGTTCTGCGTCACAGTAAATGTATTGTTTTAGTATCTAATTATTAACATTTTATTTTGATTAAATAGTTGACATATAATAGTATACTTAATAGATTTAAATTTTACTATTAATGATTAATTCTAATTATATAAATACTTTGGATAACTGTCACTATGTGCCAACCTGAACTTGAACAGACGAGGTTTGTCATAATTGTTCGATGACAAGTAATAGCTTGGGAATCACGAGGAGACAGTAAAAAAAGACTCCACCCATAAAACTTACCTTAGACAATAGTTATCACCTTTTGAAAACTACATATCATTTGTAAAAAGTCACTTCACATCTAAGAGAAAAACCTCTAACAATCAAATATTCCTTTAAATATTATTTGATAAGTTTGTTAGGATTGCACCATTATTTTGTAGAAAAGGCACGCATGTACATTGCCTCGGGCCATAAGCAAGAAATCCTAGTCTATAACCTTCTTCTTCCTTAAGCAATACATTGCCAAGGAGCAAAATTTTTTATTACAGTGGATTAAATCAGCTCTTTAGATGAGCGAACCACTTAATTTCTTTATACATTCTTACTCACTTTGCATTACACGTCTAACACACCTCATCAAGAGCTGATTCAGTTTTTCTCCCTCATGCTTGTCGATTTTTTATACCATCAAGTATTATAGAATTCACAACTCGGTTAGAAGTAGTAGAACTCAAGCTCAAGTTCAACCCAGTATGAGTTTTCAAGTATATATTGGAGTCGAAATCGAGCTCAACTTTTCAGCAAAAGAAAATATAAGAACTAACTGTAGAACTTAGTAATTAATCCTCATGTTATTTTAAACATCTTTCAAAATATATTTAATCAACCATAAAGTTTAATTCTTCAAAAAATCTATTGGAAAAGAGAATGCATATAACTTGGAGTTATTTGTGGCTAGTTTTGGGGTTGTTCACATTTCCAATAGAGTTTGCTTGGTAGTAAAATAAGAATTATGACGGGACTTTAGGCAGTTTAGCAGCCCCCAAACTGACACGTGGATTAATATAGTCGTTATGGAACTCAAAAGGCACCGATGAGTTATTACTTAGAAGAACCGAGTGAGTAGTTTGGGATCAGCTTTTAAGGAGATATGACAACTCATTAATGAGGACTTGAGTGACTGTGACAGGGCTATTAATGAGTCTCTGCATCCTCAAGACCCCAAACTGACGGTCATGATTGCAGAGCATTAATGGTCATAGCGCCGACCAGGTGTACTCAGCAAACCCTGATGTATTGTACCCCGAGCATTAAAAATTCGAGAATAGGTGTCGAACACCGATCAGAGGAACTTACATGACCGGGAGGTAGTAATAAGTGCTCGGCATGCCTCCGAGCACTTGTCCTATCACCCGAGCATTGAACGCTCACAAGAATCTGAGTGTAGAACATTCATTACGCGTGGAGAAGAGTGCAAGTCATTAAATGTCGTGATGGGACTCAAGACCCTTTCATTCATTAGTGGTACATGTATAAATACCTCTCAGAAAGATGAACAAAGATACGCAAACTAAACGGAGAAAAAGATATACTATGCTCAACCCTCCAAACGTATATTGACTTAAGCTTAGGAGGAGATAAGTCGGGTGATCACCCGGCCCCTTTTCTGACCTCTTAGTTGTTTTAGGTTCACCATCGAGAGGATTGTTATCTCTATTCATTGTTAAAATTCTCCTGTGCTAAATTATTTATAGATAAGAACCCTATTTGAGTCGAGCTGAATTTTTTTTTGAGATATATGTTACTCAACTTTGATTTGTTTTTTTAAAGGAGTTCAAAATTTTGATTAAAATTCGGTTTATTTAATGATATTAATAAGTTAAAAGTGAGGCGGACTTGAACTTCTCAAATCATATAACAAGCCTAGCTAAAGAAAAACCTACCTCAAACAAATATTGGGTTAAAGACCATAGTAGCCTAGCCACATTTTTATTCTTTCTCCCAATATAATGTAATAGCCCGAAATTATCCAATATCCGCTCACTTTAACTCTCATATATTTTTCATCAATTTTTTGAATCATAAACCATTAATTATGAATTTAAGTGGCATTCAAAATATATAAATGAATCAATCCAAAAATTTCTAAGTCCACGCAGTCTTCCCCATAAGCTCTTACCACTCACCACCATCAAACACCTTCGCTATCAAACATCAAACCATGCTCATCTCTAATACTATTTGGGTCTAATCATATTTTTTATTCTTTTTCGTTAAAAATTGTAATTGTTCAAAATTGCCAGAATTCACTCATTTAAGTAGGATTTGGATTCTCGTAGTTTTTTTCAATTTCTATTAATAGTAGATCACTCTTCATAAATTTAAAGGGGAATCACATAATACAAATGAATCGTGCAGGGGCGAATCTAGCATGGGACAATTGTCCCTACTGCGGTTTTAAAAATTTTTGCAGTCTATTTGAAAATTTGAGAAATTTAACATTATTTAGAACTTGCCCTGATTGAAAGTTTGTAAAAAAATTGTTGAACTTCTCATACAACTCTTTATTTAATCTCTAATTTTTTCTCTTCCTTTGCAACTAACGATGGCATTCGAATCATGTGATGGGACTTCGAATTTGAGTCGAGTATTAATTAATTCTAAAATAACTCATGTAATTAAGTATGTTAAGTGTGTTAACACTAATCCAGTCTGTTTATTAATTTTGTCAAGCACTAGAAGCCTTCTCTTACAACCAAACCTACCACCCATAAGTTGTGATAGATTCTTAGCACAAATAAGCTTGTCATAGATTCAATTTTTCCATTAAAATTTATCATAGATTCAATTTGAATATTTATAATCCTTATAAGTTGTTTTTTTTTTTTTTGAAATCTAAGTTTATTAAAAATTAAATGTTGAAATACTAAGTTTTGAGTTGAGCTAAACAAATTAATTGTTAAATGAGTTGTGGATAAATTTGTTAATAAAAAATTAATTTTAAAACAAATACTTTTAACATTATTATTTTTAATTCATATAAAATTTAATTGTAATTATGTATATATCATGTATAAGTCAAGGTTCTCGAGTTCATATTCATCAAAAATAGTATTAGGCACACGTTAACCAATCCAAAGACTTGGAAGTCAAAGTCGTCCTCCCTGAATATTTTTTTCTCTGAATATATTTCAAGCTCCATTTCAAATAGTGGAACAGTTCATTACCATTACCTTTTTTAGCTTCATGACCATGATCAAGATCAGTCACCACCATCAAACCCCTTCTCTTCCGAAGCTCAATCCCATGCTCATCTCAACTCTCCAACTCTCCTCCTTTCTCTGCCTCCTCCTCTCCACCACCATCACCGCCGCCGCCGTAGATGACAACAGCCCCTGGCTACCTTACACTCCCACCGACTACATTCTCCTCGACTGTGGTTCATCTTCTAACACCACCGACGCTAGCCTCCGGAGCTGGGACGGCGATGTCCGCTCACAATTCTCGCCGTCGAACATTGAAAACACGTCGTCGAATGCTACATCCTCCAAGTCTGTCATTCAAGTGCCCTACAAGACTTCTCGTATCTTCCACTCTCAATTCACCTACTCATTCCCAGTCTCTGCCGGACCAAAATTCATTCGTCTCTATTTCTACCCAGTTAATTACTCTGAGCTCGATATTACCAACTCTTTCTTCTCCCTCACTTCCAACGACTACACCCTCTTAAACAACTTCAGTGCCTTCCTCACTGTCTCCGCCATGAAACCCGCAGTTGCTTCCCTTATAAAGGAGTTCATCGTCAATGTTAGGGACAACCAGATACTGAATATAACCTTTTGGCCTTCTCCGAACTCTTACGCCTTCGTTAATGGCATTGAAGTCGTTTCAATGCCAGAAAATCTCTACATTCGCGGCAATGATCATCCAATCCCACTAGTGAGCGAGAACCAAAGATTTTATATTGATAACAACTCTGCTCTTGAGACTCTCTATAGATTAAATGTTGGCGGTAATGAGGTCTCAATAACCAATGATACGGGAATGTTTCGATTATGGAGTCCGGACGACGATTACACCTACGAAGATTATGGGTTTACACCTCACAGGGACGTCGCAATCCGATATAGACAGGAGACACCACCCTACACTGCACCGAAGATCATTTACACAACCACAAGGACCATGGGCAACGACAGTTTAAGATACAATCTGACATGGAAATTTCCTGTTGATTCTGGGTTTTATTATCTTCTCAGACTCCATTTCTGCGAGATTCAATTGGAGGTGACCCTCGAGAACCAAAGGGTTTTTATAATATACATCAACAATCAAACGGCACAGAGAGGAGCAGATGTTATCCAGTGGAGTGGTGGCACTAGAATCCCAGTGTTCAAAGACTACGTCATCATGGTCACCGACCCAGATGGTCGCCAGAGCAAGCAAGACTTGTGGCTCGCTATGTACCCTGAGCTCGACTTTAGACCTGAGTACGCTGATGCTATATTGAATGGTTTAGAAATCTTCAAATTGAGTAGAAAAGACGGTAGTCTCGCCGGGGCAAACCCTGAACTTGTACTCAGTCCACTGCGGGACCATTCACCTTGTCACCGCAGAAGAAGAACAATAAAAAACACCTAGTTGGCGGTCATTATCGGCACCGTAGTCGGAGGAGGGTCTGTTCTAGTCTTGATCTTAGGTTTCTTGATTTTTCGACGACGGAGGAGAGTGAAAGCCTTGGGCTCAACACAGCCCAAGTCGTCGTGGGTCCCCTTATCTGACGGTTCAAAGTCCACAAAAACCAGCGGTTCATCACTACCGTCTGATCTATGCAGACGCTTTTCACTTGAGGAGATCACATCAGCTACATGCAACTTCGATGACAATTTTGTCATCGGGGCAGGAGGATTTGGTAATGTGTATAAGGGCCACATCGACAACGGTGCAACCACCGTTGCGATCAAACGATTGAACCCATCATCAAATCAAGGGGCCCGCGAGTTCCAAACAGAGATTGGTATGCTATCGAAGTTACGCCACCTCCATCTGGTGTCGTTGATCGGTTATTGCAACGACAACCGTGAGATGATCTTGATTTATGATTATATGGCCCGCGGGACCCCTCGTGATCATCTTTACAAATCAAAGAAACAACTCATTCCGTGGAAGCAACGCCTTCAGATTTGATTTGCATGGCACTGCAAGGGGACTACATTATCTCCACACAGGTGCGAAACGCACGATCATTCACCGCGATGTGAAGTCCACCAATATTTTATTGGACGAGAAATGGGTGGCTAAGATTTCTGATTTTGGATTATCCAAACTGGGTCCCATAGATGCAGGCCATAACCACGTCAGCACAACGGTGAAGGGTAGTTTCGGATATTTGGATCCAGAATATTATAAACGACAACAATTGACAGAGAAATCGGACGTGTACTCATTTGGGGTGGTTTTATTTGAGGTTTTATGTGCTAGGCCGGCTATAATTCTAGATTTACCCGAGGATCAAGTGAATTTGGCTGAGTGGGCTCGCCATTGTTATAAAAATGGGACCCTTGATCAAATTGTTGACCCTAATATAAGGGAGGAGATTGCGCCAGAGTGCTTGAAGAAGTTTGGCGAATTAGGTGATAGTTGCTTGCGTGAAAATGGGTTCAAACGACCAGGAATAAATAATGTTTTGTGGGGCCTTGAGTTTTCTTTGCAACTTCAAGAGGAGGCTGAGATGAAGGGTCAAGGTGATGGTGGTGGTGGAGGTGGAGGTGGAGGTGGATTACTACCGGTAGCGTTGGCCAGTCCCTTGACTCCTCCTCTGCATGGAGAATCAATGACCGACAATGATGAAAATGTGTTAAGATCAATGACTAACAGTGACAAATTAAAAAATATGACTCTGTTCTCAGAGATCATGAATCCTATGGGTCGATGAGAAGTGAAATGTTCTTGGGGTGGGTCCTACGTGAGGTTCCAGATTTTTGGTCTTCACTTTGATTGACTTTTGAAAAGTAAGTATTTTATGCCATTTAGCTTATATTAGTGGTCTTCTTGTTTGAGTTATTTACCGCAATATAATTGTTTTTTAAACTTATTTATCTATACACAATACTTTTCAACTTATTTATTAAATTACGATATTGTTTAAAAAAGTGAGATTATTGATCTTGTTTCTAGTTGTAAAGTTGCAGTAGAGTTTTGAATTTGAACTTTTATATTTTTTATATATCTAAATATACACAGCGTGTACAGTCTAATTGTCCGACAATATCTCAGTGATAGAGTTTGAATAATTCTATAACTCAACATTCAAAAGTATATGACAGTTGAAGTTTATGAGGATTAGACTCTCCTCCTATTGTGTAGCAGACTCAATCACTCAAAATATCTTCTTCAAAACTGTTTTACAATGGAATTGTTGACTCTTTTTTTTTTTATTAAAAAAAAATAGATTATATTGTTACAGAAATTACGGAGTCCTATATTGAGGACAATTTAGCAGTTTGTGTGAAACAAAAAATTGCTCTAATACAACGATTTAATATTTCTATTCAGCATCAACGAACATTGTTTTTTTCTTTAAGCAGCAAAGAAAGTCGACTTCACTCTGTTAGCATCAACAATTGATGGTAAGGATTTTGTTTATTATTTTTTTATTTTGCTTAAACCCCCCAAAA